TTATTATATATTTACTTAAATAAATACATTTAAAAAATTTATTTAAAGTGTTGCATTCTTTTTGATTGCTACTGTAAGAATTATATTTAGAATATATTTTAGAGAAATTAATTAAAGTTATTAGTAAAGAGTTAGATATATTAATTTATAATAAGAATAATAAATATATTATTATTAAGTTAACTTATTTATATTAAAAAGTATGAAAAATTAAAAAAAATATTATATATATTAAGCAAGAAGAAATTTTAAGCTAATATTATTATGTGAAAGATTTTGAAAAAAGAATTGATATCTTATCTATTTTTTGAAATAATAAAAAAGTAAATAACTTAATAAGAATTCAAGTTTATAATAAAATCTGAAATTATCTTTTTAATATCTTATATAAAAATTTTTATAAAATAAATTTAAAGAGCTTGTAAAATTTATAAATTATTTAATGATATAAAAAAGTATAAGATCAAATAGATTAAATTTTATAATATAAATAAAATATTAAAACTTACTAACTTATAAATTTAATATATTATAGAATATTTCTTTCAGAATATTGAGAATATTTTTATATCTAAAAAAATTATAATAAAATATATACTATATAATTTTAGATCTTATTCTTATATGATTAAATTATTTGACTCAAATAAGATAAGTATTCTAGATAAGTCAAAAAAATTATTAAAAAATAAAAAAGTATAATATCTATAATATTTATATTTTAATCTAAGAAGATTTTATTTAATAATCCAATTTATAATTATATAAGTTTTTATAAGAAAGCATTAGATTAATATTTTGATATATTTTATGAATTTAATAATAAAAATATTAATAAGATATTATACTTTTTATATAAATTAAATTATAATAATAAGAAAGATATAAAAAAAGAATATAAAAATAAAACTTATTATATTAAATATGAGTAATATAAAATTTAAATAACTATATAAAATTCTGTTAATTTATTACTCTTATTATTGATAGAATATATATATTCTATTAACTTATTATATTTATTATTAATAGATCAGATAATAATATATATAATTTTTTTGTTAAGTATTGAATTGATCTGAGTGAATAAAGTAAAGTGAATTATTTGGAAAGTAATTAATTATACAAATCTGATCATAAGTTGATAAGTAAATAAGAATATTTTTTAATATATAATATCTGAAAAATTAAATTATTTTAAAATTATATAAATAATAATATGAATATATAAGTCAAATTTGGTGAGATACTAACTTCTAAATATCTGAATTAATATTTCAAATTAATTGATTTATCAATTATTATATTTGATAAACTTTAATTTAAATTATATAAAATATATAAGAAAAAAATAAGACTTAATTTCTGAATAAAGTCTGAAATTTCTAAATCTTTATAAATTTAAAAGAATTTCAATAATTATCTTTTACAAGATTATATCATCAAAATTTCTAAGTTTTTGAAAGAAAAAAGTATAATTTATAAAGTAATACATAAATATTTTTTTTTATCTTATATTAATTTGAATATATAATATCAAGATATATTTTAAATATACTAATTTAGAAGCTAAATGACTTATATATAAAGAGATATATATATGTTTAAATATATTAGACAATTAGAATTGTCTTAATAAAGATGAATACTATTTTCTTAATTACTCTTTTCATATTGATCAAAAAAAAGTTATAATTACTATATAGAATTTACCAAAAATTCAAGTAAGTATACCAAATAAAATTTATCTTTATCAGTCAGAGGCAGGCTTACATCAATATGCTATCAAACATGAAATAAATTCTGAGAAATTTTTGATTATTACTGAGGCTGAAAAAAATAGATAGATCATGAGATATTTTTCTGCTAACTTGAAAAGAAATATACAGAATGAACGGAGTGCAGATAAACTATTACTATATACCAAAAACAGCAATATTATTAAAATTTTCTGTTGCGAAGCAACGAGCTCCGCTCACATAGATCGTGATATGATATCACAACGTTACGTGATCACAAGATTCCGTCTTACGAAAGTGAAAACCTGGCCAAAACATAATCTATATCATCCTGAAAAATACTAGTTAATGTTACTGCTGTAAAGACTTAATTTGCTTGATCCCAACTCACTGAACAAATCATAAATCTGAGCCAAGAAAAAAATCACGCGCGCGTTCCGTTTCGGAACGCCGATCACTATGTAAGGGTATTTGGGTGAACGAACTTTACATTATTTATTATTCAAATGTACATCATGAATTAAAAAATAAATTGTGTATTGCAAGATTTGCCTCAAGGTTAAATAAAGCACAACATATATCAAAGTCCAAACACATAATAAAATAATGTATATCACGTTTGATTGTCAATTCGTATGAATTGTGTTGCAATATTTTTTCGGATAAACAGCTTTTATTTGTTAATCTGCATTAATACTAAGAATAAATATATGTGATGATAATTAGTTAATGTTAGTGTGAATATTAAATCAGCTAATGTCTACGGAAAATCTATTCTATCATCTGCTAACTTAAATATACAGACTCACTCAAACAATTCATCGGGAATCTTTAATACATGACGAACTGTTGTTCCTTTAGATCGAAGTACAGATCGTTCAATCTCGCCCATTAATTCTTCTTGTTTTGTTATCTCATCCTAAAGAAAAGGTACCATTATCAAATGAGTATTTTTTTTTGAAAAATAAAATATATGAACATAAATCATCAGATACATACATGAAAGATAGCCATCATTCTGAGAAGAGCTTTATATTGATTTCGACCATGGAAGCTGAAAGGGATTAAAGCTGTAGCAAGTTCCGAAGAAAGAAATCTTCCATCCGGGAGCATATTCAATGCATAGAGAGTCATTCGTGTACCTGAAGAAACAGGAAACATGAATATCAAAAAAAAAAAAAAACAATTATACTATTACTTACCGATCACCTGAGTACAGAACACTTTGATTTTAGTGGCGAGTTTTATGTCACAATCAAAGTGATTTCGTAAAATTCCAATTAAATTCAAAACATCCATTCGCATAGTTTTTTTCGTATCACCAAGGGTATGTAAGTCTGTTGTTTTGCACGGTCCACCGACCACTTCCATATGCCAAACTTCTTGTCCATCTGAATACCGAGTTGCCTTGGAATCTACTTTAATTATGCCTGAATTTGTTGCGGATTTTGTTATTTTTGCCGAAGATGCATGGCTTTCAATCCAATCGAAGTTAAGATTCAAAAACGTCCGCTCATAAAATTTTAAAATCGATGAGATTTGATATGTAATAAATTTCCGTTCGCCTATATTTCGGTCCATTGTAGAGTTTACATCAACAAGATTATAACTAAAAAAGAATCAATGGTCAATATTTATTTTGATTAACAACATGATACTAACATCTACCTACAAATCAAGAAGAACTTTTTCGCAATACAACCGAAATGGTTCATTCGGAACTTCAACCTGAATTGCAGTTTTGAATTTTTTTCCAGTTTCTTTAAGAGAAGTATCAATGTATTTTTCCAGAGCATGCGACCACACAGCAGGATTGATGTCACGAATAGAGGATAGCTCAATGGCAAGCTCCTCGCCGATTTCTAAGGTCAACTCCGAAACAGATTTATCAAAAGCACATATAACAGAGATATCTTCGGAATATCTGGAGAAATTTGCGAGTTAAGAGACTATTAGAATTTTTCCATTTGTTAAGTGATACACAGCGAGTAGGAAATAGGAAACTTACCGCTGAATTTCCTCTTTATTCAGCGGTCGCTTATTCGGAGTTGTTGTCAATGGAGTTAAATCCCGAGGAGCTTGCGGTGGGGTTCTAGGTTGTGGAGATTCCGTCGATTGCGAATGAACAGTACTATTTACTCTCCTCATCTTCCTCTCTTCGTCTGAGTTATCTTCAGCGTAGTTAACGCGTTTCATTGGTCGAGGCGATCTGCGGACTGAAGGTTCTCCCTGCAACATATTCGCAATTAAAAAAAATTTATAGCTTATAACTGATCGTGATTAAGACCTACCTTTTCTTTACCAACGTTTACCGATTTTTCAGCCCACTTATCAACTTCCGCGTCGGTAACTTTAGCGATACCTCTTTGATATTTCGTGACGCACTTTTGCTTATAAAGAGAAAACAGTGATTGTAATGAGCTCATTTTCTATAGTAAAAAAAATAAGAATCCAACAAAATATGCACTCACAAACTGAACTTCGCGACCGGTTTTTTGTTTGTTGATCGCTTCTTTATTTTTATAGAATCGAATGCGTTGTTTTTTCCACGTCTCAAAATGAAAAGATTGCATTAGTTATAAGACTCACACGAATTAGCTCGAAACGATTGGGAGGAGTGGTTTAGGTCCAAGCAACCGCAGTCCCCAGACTTCCAAACTTGAGCGACCGCAGTCCCCAAGTTTGCCACCGATCAGGGTCATATGAGCGACCGCAGTCCTCATACACCAGAAGTAAGCGACACGCAGTCCCTACTTCCTTTCAGATACTTAAGCCCTCTCCTAAACGAGAGGCTCTATCCTCCAATGCAAAATATATAAAATAGTTTACTCTTACAACCCAAGTGTCTCTAATGTCTTTCAGAACACGCGTCGTATCTTCTTTAAAGAAATTTGATTCGAGTACTTCCTCCAAATCTTGGTTCATCACTTGATATACTTGCGAAAGTTGGCTATTTGACATTTCCTGCCGATAGTAGTCGAATATATTATCAGCAGTTATAGAATTAATCGCAGATACGACATCGGGCTGAGTGAGGAATCGGAAAAGTGGTCTTCTGGAGAAATGTCCCACTGAAAACGAAGAATTAGTAAAGTTGCGATGGATCAAACGAAAGACTTGTTCTACATACTTTTTTTATCGATGCAAGTAGAAAAAGAACAATTCGTGTGGAAGAAATTCGTGTAGAGAAGACTTGACAACAAAAAATGTGCGGGCATGTGACTACCGAGGTTGTACGATACTATTTGGGTAGAGATCCGCTCGACGGTCGAGCGAAGTAAATTGTACCACAAATAACAAATTTTACCTATTACATATAAGGCAATGGTTTATGCGTACAAATCTCATAGGACGACATTCATATGATTGGCCGATAAAGTTACACGAATTTTTGTAATTGATATTGTAAATATTTATATATGCATATCACATGATTTTATTACGAACTGCTAGAATTAACTCGAACTTTGAAAAGGTGAGAGTAATCACACAATCAACTATTTAAAGAGCTGGTTTTTGTCTTAATTAAAGAATAACTCTCTTTAATTCTTTTCTTGATCATATTTCTTGATATAATCTTTATAATAATTAAAAATTAATTTACTTGTAATAAAATATTATTAAGAATCTCTTACTTTTACTTTTACTTATTCTCTTTAAATAAATAATTCAGACACATCATAAATACAAATAAAATTATAATTTAACAAAATTATCATTTAATTTTATTAAAAAATCCAAAAAAAATAAAACAAATAAACTATTAATCATTATTATTAAAATTTATGCAATACCTCTTCTAATATAAATGCTATATATTCTATAATTTCATTTTTATCATTATTATTGCAGGAGATATTTTCTGAATTTTCAATTTCTTCTTGCTATAATGCAGATCACTTAAAAGTGTCATTAGTCTAAATTTTTTTTTTGATAATAGTATGTAATTTTTATATAAAATTATAAGTAAATTTATAAAATTACTGCTGATAGATGGCAAAAAATTTTCACTTATTATATAATAAAAATTTTTTTAATTATACATAATATATATTATTATATATTTATTAATTTCTTCACTAAAAAAATTCTTTGTATTATTTACTAGTTTTATTGACTAATAGTCTCTTTATTATTTTAGAGATCACAAATCTCTCTTTTATTTTATTCACGTTGCTGAACAGTATATTTAACTTTGTTAGAACATGGTATTAGTTGAAAAAAAATAAATTATTAGCACATGCATATATGCTTATTGGAAAAGTTCAGAATTATCATAATATAGTCACATAATTATCTATTAGAATTTCATGAGAGATGAGTTCAAAATTTTAATTTTATTAATAAAACTTCTAATTTTTAAAAGCTTATAACACAAAATATTTTTAATAAATATAAAATTTGAAATTATAAATATAAAACTCAAATAGCCATTCTATTATAAATATGATGTTAAATTATTATTCTATCATTATATATAAAGTTATAAGGCTTCAAAATTAACTAAAATTTTGATGACTATAAGTGATCTGCATCATATTTTTTATTAAAATATTTTAAGTATTATAATAAAAATTAAACATGTTTATTAATTCTATTTTATATAAATAAAAAATAATACATATACTTGAATTTCTTATTTGTATAGCAAAATCTGTGATAAGTATAATTACAAGTTAAAATATTAATTAGATCTATATTAATTATTAAAAAAATTGAATAGTGAAATATATTATAAGAATTAAATAAATTTGACTTATGTAAAATATTAAATCCTAAAGGAATATGATATAATCATGTTTTTAATATTTTTATTATCATTAATAGAATAATAATATTATTAATTTTTTTTTGAAGATAAATTCATAATAATCTGTAATAAGAATATTGAAGATTTGTAAAATAAATGTGTATAAATTTCTGAAAAATATTGTAAAAGAAAATATAAACTTTTCTTTATTAAAAATATAATATCTTTGATGAAATACTTTATAAGTTATCTATATTGATATATACATAAAGTTTTCTCTAAATTCATTATTATCCAGATGTAATCAGTTGATAAGATATTTATACTGTTACCGTTTTAAGATTATACGTATGTAATTATTTTAAAATGGTAATAGTGACTGTGTTCATGGCAATTATTTACTTTTATAACTTTGAACGATTATATGATCAATTATTTTCTCAATAAGATAATTAATATAAGTTTACCTTTAACAAAATACTCTCTCAATAGAGCAAGAAGAAATAAGATAAAATATAAGATAAAATATGTGTGTTTATTAAAGAAAAATACTAATTAACTACTCTTAACTCAGTAGTAA